ATGCTACTATTATAAAAATACAAAAACTATAATGAAATTATTATTATAATCCATTAATACAAAGCACAATATACTAGAAAGGCTGCCACAGACATTGTAAGGATTATTATCAATAAAATTCCAGTGAAAAAAGAAAAATAATTATATATCATTGCCATTTTTGACGATTTAGAAGCTCTTTTATAATTGCTGCTAGCGTTATGATGCCTTGTCTAGGAAAAGCATTATAAAGACAAAAGTTATTATTGACATACCTCCATGGAGTAAACTAAGGCAAGAATACTAAAAGGCCAGAAGCAGCACAAGAGTGTTAATATTGACCATGCCAAATAGTCTGGTGCAGACTATAATAATTATAAGTAAGTAGAACAATAATAATAATCTCACATTATTACAATGTTCACAAGTTGACCTATCACTGATCATGGCATTTGTCCCACAGTTTGAACAAGATCTCCAAGTAACTTCATATTCAGGAGCATATAAAATCCTGAGAGTAAAAATGATCCAAAATTATATTATATTTAGACTGTATACTAATTGCTAAATACCCATTATTGTGAATGATAATACATAAACATAAAGCATAAAGTTTTAAAGGCAAAAAAACTGAAAAAAAAAGGTTTTCAAAGACAAGTTGGTGCAGGGTCAATTAAGTAAAATAAATACAAAATTGTACATACTTTGCTGGAGGATTTGTCTTAATTGATACACTATGGAAGACTTTTAGCTGCAACTCAGTTTTTTCGACCCGATTAGATCTATGCACACAATATCAAGTATAGTAGATTACATATAGTAGTCCACTGACATTTCATCATCAGCTTCATTAAGCATAATACTCAAATCTGGTACAGGAAATGCCTCATGTGATATGTTTTCACTGCTTTGTTGACTAAATAAAATATACAATTAACTTGCCAAGTGATACAATAATACCTTTTTGTCTCATGTTCTTGATGATGCAGTACAACTGCATTACTTCTTAAAACATTACCTACTTCTCCTTTACATGCTACTTGTCCTAATGCACTGTAAAATAATACTGGTTTAAAATAGATCAAAGGATTATGAGTGCTGTCATTCCAGTAAGTCGTTCGTATCTCATGCCATTCTTCATTAATGTCTGGTGGTTGAGCAACAATAGCAGGTGGTACTAATGTAACCATATCCCATGTGACATGAACAGCTTTTTCTATTAGCTTTTGTATTGGTTCTTCAATCTGATCAGAAACAATGGCTAATACCTAGTAATAACAGTTATCACATGAAGTTGCAATGAATGATATTCAGCAGTAGCACCTGATTCTGAATTTCAGCGAAGGGGCAGAGTGATTTTGCTTTTGATATGCACAATAGGTAACTATAACTGATCTTTAATAGTTCCCAGTGATCACCATTTTTAATTGCGCATGGTACAAATAGAGTTTCAAGTTTCTAAGTAAACAAACAATAATCAATTACAACGACAAATAATTTGTTACGTTTCTGCTGGATAGAATTTCTTTAACTGCTTTTGGCAATTGGTTTAAAATGCTATCAGGAGAATCGTTGAATTTTTTCATTACTGGACCTTCAAGTATGTACTCAACACACAACTTATAAGCTGTCTATTTTAACAACCAAGAGTATAGGCATAATGAATAAATTATTAATACACTTATACCTGTACAACTAAACATATCACTGATTGCACTGGGTCTTGAGAGTGTACAAGCTGCTTGAATTGTCTGTTGAACATGACAAAGTACTCATTGAAAGTTAAGCAAACACTTTCATGAGTAATGTCACCAATATTAATGTTATGACATAATCTGTTGACTTCAAGCAGAAGTAAACTAAAGTCATGTGACTCATGCTTACTATTCAAGGATTGTCTTACTTATTGTCTGATAGTTCTTCATTATTAAGCCAGGGTGAATGAATAACATCACCATCTGTTCAATAATAGTATCTTATTACACAACCACAACAATTTTATCACCTGGCCTATCACAGATAGGAGTCACCTTGTCACTAACCAAATTATCATTAGTACTATAGGGTTGGACTGATAAATTTGGTTTACTGTAAAAACAACTGCACCTGTTTTCCTCTGAATCAGAATTGTCCTTATTTGGTACTATAGCAAGAGCATTTCTATCATCACTATTATCAAAATTTTTGTCAACATCCTTGGAGTTGGATAACAACGTATTCTGAGAAACAGTCATACCAACACTACTAAGTTTCAGAAATTTTACATTTTTGACAGTAAACTTAAGGGTTTTGTTTACTTTGAGCATTGACTTGTGTCGACTGCTTCATCTCTAGAAAAGTACATGATTTGACAGTATAATTATAAATTTTACTTTGAATCTTGAATGCTTGGTAATGCCTCATCAACTGATTGTTTTCTTAAATATACACTGCTGAGATACTAATTTAAAATTATGATGGGTCTACACTGTTGAGATGAAAGTACCGGTAGTAAACTAGCTAAATCTTCATCAGCTGAAGTAAAAGTGTAACAACCATCAAATTTAGTAGCACCACCACTTTTTTCATCTACAAGTGTTTGCTGTGAAGATTGAAAGCTAATAACAATGAGTATACATGTCACTCAACATTACAATCAACAAGTTGTGCTTACTTTCCTGAATCAGCTTTAATAGTACTGGCAGTATCTTTTGAACTGTTATGTTCACAAATAAATAATTATGTTCATCATTCTAACCTTGCATTTGTAACTTGAATTGATTCAAGAGGTCTATAGATAAGGTAAAAATTTAAAGAATTTATTCTATTTTACTTGTGTAATTCTGTTTGTGGCAAACAATGACATTGAATCAATGTAATATTGTTAGGTTGGGTGTTTCCAATAGTTCCTTTGCATCCTACATGACCTAGTGCACTATAGAATAGCACTGGTTGAAAATATACTACTGGATTATATGGCAAATTATCTTTCCAGCTTGTAATACGCTTTTCATGCCATTCTTCATCATACTCAGTTGGTTGATAGACAATAGCAGGTGGTACTATTGTTACCATATCCCACACCAAACAAACTGCTTTATCAACCATCTCTTTTATTTTGTCTTGTGATAAAGGAATATTTTTTGGTACAACTTCTAATACCTAATAAAGAATTTTTATACAGAAAATCTAATGATGATTACTTCATTGGTAATACGAATTAAAGGATCTTGACATTTAGCTTCACATACATATAGGTATACTCCAAAACCAGCTTTTAGTAGTTCCCATTCATTTTCATTGATTTTTTTTATAGAAAACAATTGAGAAAGTGATATCAGATTGCTATCTCTATCATCACATGCTACCTAAATTAAAGTTAATACCTAGTGACTTTATGAATAGATAAGTCAATACCTGCTTAATCTTCTCTGGAATTTCATAATTTTTAACATTTTCACAAAACAGATCCATTAATGCACCAGATAGAAGGTGCTTTTGGCAAATGTAATAAGTAACCTTAGTTGATTAAAAAAATTAAAATCAAATAGAGTAAGAAACTAATATAGAGATATACAATACTATTCAGGCAACTACTGTGTAATGGGTATATTCTGTCGGAATTTCTCTTTTTGTTCTCATTCTTTGTGAAACAAATATTTTCTAAATAAAAAAGGTGTTTCCTAAGTATCACGTGTGCAAATGGCTGCATGCTCAGCATGAAAAAAAGGAACATTTCTAAAACATAAACATTTCCCTAGACAAAATATACCCACTATAATGGTACATATTTTTGTCCATAAATACATGTAATGACAAATTTTTTTTACTATTATTTTAGTAACTTTTAAAAAGAAATAATTTTTAAAAATATCGTAAATCTGGTATTTTTAATGGTGATAAAATACAAAATGAAAAGTTTATGCTGGAAAATTTCATATGCTGCCATTTAGCCAATTATATCAATAGGTAAAAAGGAAATATTAGCAATTCTAAATTTAGTATGCCTCATTGCCATACAAAAATTATCACTTAAAATTATACCAGATTTATGTCAATTTATGGTCCTGTATCCACTGATTTATAAAGTAGTAATTGCCTTGCATGCTGAGCTTGTATGCGTCTGAATCTTTGTAATGTGAATTACAGCTCAAGTCATTTTTGAATTAAGAGTTTTAAGGCTGATATATACAAACTGCTATGCATTATGACCCAAAACTACCTGTACTGAAACATCACGAGTAAGATTTAGAAAATCTTATACATTTGGAATGCCTCTAATTTTTATCCTAATTGTTCCGAATCCTAGCTTGGCATCTTAATTCATAAAAATAAGTAGTTCACATTGTACATGACTAAAATTGCTCATGAATATAATAGGAAACACAAGGACAATTGTTAAACTGAATAATGTGGAATAATATATATTGATTTAAACAATTGAATGATACCTGAAGTATATAACATGGTAATTGTTGTACTAAAGCATCAACTGGTTGAATGAATATTTTCATTCTTTTGCTGAATTTAGTAAAATACTCCTTATACTTCAGATGAATGTCTTCATGAGTGGTATCTCCAGGTTTAATATTATTGTATAAGTTTACAACAACCAATCTGCATTATGATAGGTCATAATGTATAATTTTAAATGCTTACTTGTTCTCCTCAGCAACGTCTTTGACTAAATTTGAGGCCATTAGTCACAGTCCAGGTCCGGTCGAGGTCAATGGTTTCACTAGCTAGCTCACAATACTGAACGAATATACGCAACTATGCTCCGCCCATAGTTCCACCCACACGTACACACATACAGTAATGATCTATGCGTATCCAGCCCGGCCCCTCCTACGCGAGGCTACATTTGTTCATTCTTTGTCAATCCAATTGGCCATAGATTGCCCGTTTGTTTAGGTGCACCGAGGTTGGCTTTACTGTTATTTTGTGAGTTGGCAGCTGCTCAGTGCTCACTGCCAAAAGTTAGTTCCTTCTGGTACGTGTGTACTTGGCAAAGGTCCTAATCACATACGTACATGTATGCAAACTATGTTATAGCACAAAACTACACAAAGGTCATCAAGTCTAATGACATATCATACGCATTATTATACACAATAAATACATTGAATGTCATAAAGTAGTGTTGCTAGTGTATTGTTTAATCTACTTTATCTAATTCATTATCATCACTATTATTGCTGTCCGCACAGTCTGATTTCTCAAGATCTTGCTCAATCTCTTTATGCTCTTTTGATTTTTTCTTCTTCTTCTTTTTCTTTTTCTGCCTTAAACTAGTATTCATTTGGTTTGCTCCATTTGGGCATGAAGCACTTTCTTGTGACATCTTTGTACAAGGCTGTAATAATTGCAGCATTTAAGGTTATTATATATACCTTGCTAGATGCACATAAATCTGTCCTTTTCACATCTTCTTCACCTATTTTATAACTATAATTGTCCACAATGTTGATTTTAAATAACTTACTTTTACACTCCTCTCCTTTTGTGAGGTCAGATACTCCAGGAGCATCATTATCAAAGCTTGCATCATCAATAAGCATACCTTGCTCTAACAGTGTAGAATGCTCTGGTTGCTGTTAATCAAATTAAAGTATGGTACAGCATAATCAAGTATACTTACTGGTGGATAAATTGCAACGCTTCCTTTATATCCAACAATGCCAAGCGGACCAAAAAATAATACTGGCCGTCTATATTTAACTATGTATTTTTTTCCTTCACCTAACAAATTTTCCATATCAGTCACATCATAAACATCTAAATCTTCAGAAAAAGACATTTTGCCAAAAGAAACTGGAGGAGAAAGGTTCACCATTCTCCAAGTCAGTTCAATCACCTGTTCCACAACAGTTTGCATGTCAGCACTTTCATACATTTTATCTTTCTTTGTGACCTATTATTACCAATGCTAAATTAAATGTACATTCAGAAATAATATTAATCACCCACCTCAACAGTCAGGTCATCAGGCATAAACTGAATTTTTAAATTTGACAGAAGAAGAGACAAAGCCTCTTGGCGAGACTGCCATGGAAGGTAAATTTCTTCATTTTTTCTTTCCTGTTCAGTGAATACATGAGCAGGAGGCTCAAATAGCTTTTCAAGCTCCTTTTTAGCTATTTCTATCAAATGGTCTTTACAAACATCATATGCAATCTGTATAATAGAATAAACTTTATGTCTCTAATAATGCATTATGCATATACCTCAAATAACTTTGTCAACTCAGGGGCTCTTTCTCCAACTTTTTTTATTCCTATTGGTTCTAACAAGTTTTTTTTATCAAAAAGCTGCTTAAAATCTCTTGCAACATCATCATGCACAATGTCCCCAGGCTGAATACAGTGACCTTTCCTCTTTAATTGTCTCATCGGATCTATCAACCTAATATATGTGGGTGACAATACTATATAGTTGCAAATACTTGTTTAGCTTTGCAATTTCTTCATTTTTAGATTCTAATTCTCTAATTTAAGATGTATGTCATTACAAAAGGCAAAAATAGTAATTAATACCTTTTTAATGCAACAAAACTTTGTTTATAATATTCTAACCTATATGCCGGGATGCAAAGATCATAATTGAAAAACGTACAAATTACATACTCTTGTGTTTGATTGTCAATAGCTTGCACTCTTAATTTAAGTTCATTGCTTAAAGCAAACATTGCATCCTGGCTATTTTTCAAACTAATTAAAAACTTAAATTTTCATTAATTTTAAAATGAGTTGTTTCTTACGCCTTTTCCAATTGCTCATTATCTCTTTCAAAGTGCTTTAACTTTCTATTAGCAAAAACATACAGACATGAATGTATATTTAGTGCATACATTAATTAAACAGTAAAATATGCTGGCTGTTAATTATTCAAGCTTACCCTATCTCCTCTTCTAGTTTAGCTAATTCGGAGTCCCTAAAATATAATCCATTAACTACTTACTAATAAAATTTATACCTCAATTTCATAAATTCACTGAACTTATCTCCAACTTTATTGCTAGATTTTACGAATTCGTTTACAACAAACTTTTTAAACTTTTCGGTTGATTCATGGCCGCTGACAGTAGCGAAAGATTCGCTATAGGCTCCCGTAGGTCCCATTCTACACAAAATGACGAAATTATATGCTCTTCCTGGATTAAAACTGCTAACCTAAATGCATCTGTGTCTTGTTCTTCGCCATATCTTCCAGTTCCAAATATACTATTGCCCATTTTGTCTTGATATGATAGAAAACTCCGCTTGGGAAACTCCGAAGTGAGTTTAAATCATAGATATTATAGACTACGTAATTATAGGTTACGTAGTCTATAATATCTATGGTTTAAATGTAGAGCTCACGTGATCACGATAGCTTTAAATTACGTTTTTGTAACTCTCGTCAATCATACTATTGTAGCATCTATAGTCATACAGCATAGATCTAGACATGAGCGACTCGATAAGTGGTGAAGACGGGACTCTTAGCACACAACCTAGACCTGAGAATGATGACGATTCTGTACCATTACCGTTGCCCTTATCTCTTCCACTACTACTTGCTCTAAGTGGTTCCCCTGGTGGCCTAGGTCTGTTACCTCTGCTAGCTGCAAGTGGTGCGCCATCAGGAATACAAAAGGCTAATAGAGTAAAGAAAGATTCCTTAACGCAAAAATATGGACAACAGGCTGGCCGATTTAGGCAAACAACAGGAAATGTAGCGGCGATAGATTTCGGAACAACGTTTTGCTCTCTTGCATATACAACAAGTATTGCTAAAGATGATATCGTTACTCTCAAGCTCAATCAGTATCATTCACGTGTTCCAACAGCCATTCTCTTGAAGCAGAATGGTACTAACAGTATCCAGAATTTCAATGCTGACGATCCTGTTATACGATCACCTGTCTATGAAGTGGAGTCATTTGGATATGAAGCACAGGAACAACATGCTAAACTTAGAGCCAGTGAAAGATTCAAATACTTGTATTTTGAACGCTTTAAAATGACTCTTCAACAAGATGAGGTATGTTATCAAACAAATTATGTCAAATTTGAATCACTAATTACAAATATAGGGTGTAAACAGAAATATGTCAATTCCATCATCAAGTGACACCAAGTGTCATTTAGTGGAGGTAATTGCTTTTATCTTACAATATTTGAAGAAAGAGTTAAGTAACCACTTGCTTCAAAGTGGTTCTGGTGTACTAATTTCTGACTTTGACTGGGTGATAACTGTTCCTGCTATTTGGCAGTCAAGAGGAAAAAGGATGATGAGAGAAGCAGCATACCAAGTGAGTGAATTAATTCTAGTACACTATTTTATTTTTATACTATAGGCTGGTTTATGCTCAAGTTATAAAACCATTGATCGCTTTATTCAAGTTGGCCATGGCATGCCAAAGCAAGATGAAGATAATCCTGACAAGTTGTCATTAGCTCTCGAGCCTGAAGCTGCTGCCATCTACTGCCAAACAATGAGCAATAAAGCCATGCCCGACCACTGCAAGGTTGATGGCTCAATTCAATCCGATCGATACCTTGTTATAGACATCGGAGGTGGAACTGTTGATATTACTGCTCACCGACACAATGAAGAGCAAGGAATTGAAGTCATTACTGAGCCAATTGGTAATGACTGCGGTGGCATGAAGGTTAACCAGGAATTTTCTAAGCTGTTGCAAAAAATAGTAAATGATGAAGGTAACTTTGCAAAAGAGGCATTTTCTCGATACCTTGATACAAAGGAAAGTGGGGTGCTTGCAACCAGAAAAGCAATTCTTAATGAATTGCTAAACAGACGATTTGAATTGGCAAAAGTCACATTTGGAAGTAAGGCCTGTGGAAAAGATTCTCTTCCAGCTGGACAAGATGACGATGATATAGCTATTGAATTACCTTACCAATTTGTTCAATTCTATGGTGTCGATGAAATTGAATCTGGTGTTGCAGCATTGCAGGATGATCGTATTGAACTTGATGATACAACTTTGTACATGAAGTTTTCACTTGTTGCCGAGTTATTTCAACCAGCCATTGATGGAATACTTAGCTGCACCGCCTCTGTTCTTGAGCGCCTGAAAGGTGATATCGACACTATTTATCTTGTTGGAGGGTTCGGGGGATGCAAGTATGTATTTGAAAAAATTTCTACACTCAATAAGGCAAATTATAAAGAGCATAGCATTCGAATAATTGTTCCTAAAGATCATTCTTTGGCAGTAGCCCAGGGTGCAGTCAAGTACAGGTTGGAGCCAGATATCATTTGCTCTCGAATCATGGATGCTACATATGGTACAGATATATGCCCTCCATATTTACCTGGACGACATGATAGGAAGTATTTTGTTGGTATTGATTCTCGTGGCATACCAAGACGACGTGATGTTTTGCTCCATTATGTAGACAGAGGTGAAGTCATTAACAGTGATGAGGTTGTAACAGCAGAACTCTGTCCACTAAGTGATGCTGCCAAATCAATGAAAATTGATTTGTATAGTACGTTAGATAAAGATCTTGAGTACATAAAAGATGAAGAAGAGAAGCCAATTCCTTCTGTGCGCAAAATAGGTGAAATAGAAGTAGATATGCCAAATGAAGAATCTTTGCCTCGAGAGAAACGTCTTGTTGAAATGACAATGGACTTTAGTCACACTGAGATACAAGTCAGGGCTCATTACACGGTCACTGGAATGCAAGTCAAAGCAACATTAGATTTTTTGACTAATAATGCTACACAATAGATGTGACACTTTGCTACAATTGTTTACATTATAATTATAGTCATTGTGTGGTTTATTAAGAGTAGCTTAAACTATTGTCACCCATAGTGTGATAAAATTGTAAACTTAGGAAGGTTAATTAATTCAATGAAATCATTACATAAATTAAGTTAGTAAAACAATTATGATTAGTAGTCTATATCAAAAAATTTAAAGTTGTTTTTATATCAGTGTTTGTGTTAAGATATCGTACTGTTGCATCAATTTCAACAGAGCTAAAATCTAAAACAACTTGAAATCGTCGCTGGTCTTTGTGAAGTATATCTCCTTTCGGAAGTTCAAACTTGAGTTCACCTACCTTTTCAGCCATTGGCATAATTACACCTGGTGACGGACGATCTGTCAAATATTCCAGTGAAGGCTCTTCACTTGCATAGAATGGAATGCTAATAACTCTATCAATATCAATATCTGGTAAAACTTCATCTACAGCAACTTCATTCGATGATACAGGTGTGCCTTTTTGTAGAAAAGTAAGAAAGGCATCTTCACATATCGGGATACCATCTTCATTGTACTTAAAGTGCTCTTTACCATGTGTCTTTGAATTATATCTAACAGAAACTGCTAATCCATATGTACGATTAAGGCAACGTGAATTAATTTTTGGAGCTTTTTTGTAAAGAACAGCTCCATGAACAACAGCAAGCCTGTGATTATCTGGAACTATTAAAATATAATTCATGCTAGGAAACTCTTTGGCGATAAAACTTTTTACTTTTTCATAGACATATTTGCACCCTCCAAACCCGCCAACTAAATAAATGGTCTTAAACTGAGATGATGCTTTATTCTTGGAAAGTTCCAAAAGTGCCCTTTGAGTGCTATCAAGAATACCCTTTATTGCTGGTGCAAAGAGATTGTGCACTCTAGAATACTTGATGTAGATGGAATCTTCTTCTATGTCAATAGCTGGATCATTTAACTTTTTCAAATTTTTCATTATATATTCCATTCCGTATTGTTGAGTGATTTTGTGTGGAATTTTTACTACCAATTCTGCATCATCATTACTTGAGCGACCAAATATTTCCTTCTGCATTTCAAAATCATTGAAAAGACCATAATTAATAAGTGCTTTCAAAGTGCCATCATCAGAATACAGTAATCGTTGAAATGAAGTTTCTAAGTTGAAGAATTCATTTGTTTCGTTTTCGCCCAAAAGTTTCTGCAAAATTCGTCCAAACTCCTTGTTAACAACCATTCCACCACAGTCATTGCCTTGTGGTGCCAATATGACAGCAATCTCACCTGTTTCCTTGTTTCGTTCCTGAGCTGTGATATCAACTGTGCCACCTCCTATGTCTAAAACAATATATTGCTCTGGAGCACAGAGCTCTTCAGATGGTTTGTCACAATATTTGGCCACGTGAGATGAATTCATTGCTTGACAGTAGAGGGCAGCAGCTTCAGGTTCAGGTACTAATGAAAGCTTTGATATATTAATCTCACTTGGAGATGGTTGAACTTCTGCTTTGCATGCACATGATAAGTACAATATTCGTCCTGAACCGCATAAACCAGCCTACAGATGAAAGTATAAACAAGAATTTAATGTATAGCCTTTGTGACTATTTTAAACATATATACTTACTAAATATCCAGCTTCTCTCATCATCTGTTTTCCCTTGTTTTGCCAAATTGCTGGCACAGTGATAACCCAGTCAAAGTCTTGGGCAGTCAAAGCAGCACCAGCCATTGTGATGCATTTTATAAACTCATCCTTCATGTAACAGAGAATATAAGCAATTACTTCAATTAAATACCACTCGTTAACTTCGGTGGAGTCATTGTTTAAATTAATTGAATTAATTTTCATACTCCTTTCAACATTCTATAAATAAACATAAAGTAAAAAATCTACAAAAAATAACTAATGTGGCCATACCTTCTCATGCTGAAGCCTCATTTTCATCCTCTCAAAATAAAGAAATTTTACATTATCTCCTCGTTTTAATCTTTGGTACTTATTCTGTGCTGCATATCCAAATGAATCTACGCTGCACTCTATTCCAACGACAGTGCCATCAGAATTTAATCTTTCTTTCCCCCTTTTTAATAAAATTGCCGTCGGGACGCGAGCGTGATAATCATCCAATTTCAAAGAGCTTGTCTCGTCGGCTGATGCCGCCGTGCTGTAAGCGAGAGAGCAATGTGTTGTTCCAAAGTCAATTGCAGCGACATTTGTGGGCTGGTTTACTGAAGCAGCAATATCGGGGATTTTAACTTGACAATTCGCATATTTTTTTCTTTCTCGCCTTGCTACTAGTGGCCAGCCGACTTTCTCCGGGCACTTAAGGTTTTTTCCAGTTTCAGATGTCATTGCTATATGATAACCAGTTCCTAGTTTCTCCGGTTGTAAAGTGACTAAAGTCCAGTAGAAAAGAGACGTCAAATGTGAGAATCAATGCTGATTGCTGTGATTCCGTGACGATTGACAGGGGGTGTAACCATAGATATTATGGTGTAACCATAATCATACGACATCGACACGATAACTTTGAAAAATGGCAACCGTAAGCCAAGACGTAGAAGAGCTGACCTCTGTATTTCAAGAACTTCAGAAAATTTTGGACAGCAAGCACGCACATTTGTTGCAGCAACTATATCGTCTTCATGATGAGAAAAGGAAGCAACAAGAGACTATCTCTACTCTACGGCTGGAGTTGAAACTAAGCCAATCTCAATCACAACAATTAACATCAAGAAAGCAGGAATACAAAGACCTGTATCTAAAGAGCAGAGAAGAAATAGAATTGTACAAGCAAGAATTAAAGAAAAGTCAAAGGAAAATTCAAGAATATGAAAATTTTTATAAGCACTTGGAAGGCGTCGAATCAAACCTTGCCAAACAATTGGAGGCCATTCAAAATAAAGAGATAGAACTTGATGAAAGAGAAAAAAGGTTACAAATTCATAGTGAAGACCTTAACTCAAAAAAGAAAGAAACTGATAAAACAAAATCCCCCCCTGATGAACAAAAAAGGTAAACAAAAATTGTATTTCAATTATTATCCCTCTGTTATAGACCATTACGGAGACGCAGTTCATCAGTGGACGGAAGAAAAAGATTACCTAAAAAGCCACAATATGGAGTAATACATCCAGGCAGCATAACTCATGATACCATTCAGCAGCAATTTATTGAATATTACACAAAGCACAAACGACAGTATGGATCACTACTGAGTAAGCATGGAAAGCAAAGTGCTTCTATACTTTGTCACATAATGCAGGTATAACTATTTAAACTAATATCTACATTAATTTATTTATTTGCACAAAATTTAAAGATTGCCTTTGACAAAAGCAAGAACAAAATAATAGAAGTAGTTCAACAAACAATTGAAAAGAAACAAACAGATCATGAAGTTATTAAAGCAATTTCTCTGTTAAGGAAAAGTCGCTTAGTACTTGTAAGTTCATCTGACACAATACAGTATTTCTATATTGTCTTGCTAAATTATTTTTATTATATTGTAATCATTAATTTTGGTGTACTCTTTTTAGAATAATGAAGCTGATATCTTAGAAATAAAGCGCTTGTTTTTACTGCCTATTTATACCAAGGAATATCAAGGCAGTCCAGGAGGCTGGGAAGAAAAAAAATATGCGTATTCTATTCTACTTAATTCTTCTGATATCAACAAACATGCAATATGCGCTACTTTAGAAAAAGAAGTTAGAGATACAACAGTAGCTTTTAATATTTTTTTTTACAAAGGTTACTGATGAAGTGCTAAAGATGCTTACTAACATTGATCATATCATAGCTGATATGGTCAAGAAGGCTGCTCAATTATCGTGGGATATGGTGACTTTAGTACCACCTGCTATTGTAGCTCAACCTCTTGAATATTATGATGAATGGCAAGAAAAAAGATATAGTTATTGGAAAGAAGAAAACACAGATCAAGCTCTCATCTATTATCGTCCTGTTGTGTTCTTTAGTGCTTTAGGTCATGTGGCATGTAAAGGAGAAGTGGGAAATATTTTGCCAACAGATCTGGCTGCACGAGGTATGATATTTTTAGCTTAATGATAATATTATGACTATTTGTCTTATCAGATAGCATACAACTTCCTAAGACACAACCCTTAACCAGGTACTCCGCTTCTATATATTTTGTGTAATTAAAAAGATACTAAAAAATTTTTATCGTTATTTAGACCAGAGAGCTTAAAACCTCATAACCCTTGTGTTGGTAAGTGTTATGTGCAAAATTCTTCTATCACATCTATATTATAATAGGTGATTTGGGAAAAAATTATGGTATGAAGAGGCTTAACTAGTTGAACTAGCTCAAGCAATTTTATATCAATATGACCTTTATTATTATTTAAAATTTGAGTGTCAATTTAAGCATTATTAGCTTTTGCATAAACAATAACAAAGAAACTAAATGAGCTACACTCTTCAAACTGTAAAGAAGTAAACAGTATGCAATAAACTTGGCTGCAGAAAAGTCAGTTTTGGCTCACATTTAAGGTTATTCCAGTAAGCAGTTAGTGTCTCATGCCATAAGAGGGTTAAGCAATAATAGCGTATGGTACTAAATTAACTATATTCAATCATACATAAACTGCTTTTCTATTAGCATTCAGGAACAAGAATTGCACATAGTTTTCTGAATGAAGTTGAAAAACCTGATTATGAATTTGAGTAATTAGGCAGTTTGATCTTACTTTTGATATACACAAAAGGTATACATGCAACCGTGTGATTACCACCTTTAAACAAAAATATAGCTTGCCATACTCATAAACAATAATTAGTCACAACTTCTATTAACTTTGTTACTTTTCTGCACAACAACCATTTTTGCTGCTTTTTGTAACTGATAAATAGTGCTGTGCATTGTAATAAATAATATTATCAAAATAATAATTCAGACAGGATGACCAATTAATTGCTGTTTTGAGTGGTCATACAAAATCATATGAAAGTTTTCTTTCAGAAGTTTTATCATTACTGTTAATAGTGTTCAGTTTAGCTGTTCTGATTGTCCACTTGCCAGAAATTTCTTAATGCCTGCTTCTAATTTTGTACTCGAGATATAATAACAATACACTCATACCTGTTCAACACTGACTGCACTCGGTCCTGGGAGTGTACAAAAAATTATAAGTGTCTTTACTCTTCAGCTTGTCACCAATATTAGTGTTATGATATTATCTGTTGACTTCAAGAAGTGAACTAAAGTTATGTGAGTTATACAAGACCAGAGTTATACTTGCTATTCATGCAATGATTGTCTCACGCTTGCTGTCAGAATAGTTCTTTGTTATTAAGTTTTGATGTAAGAATAGTGTGCACCATCTGTTCATTCTAATACACAACCACAACAATTTTATCATTTGACCTATCACAATCAGTTAATATGGGAGTCACCTTATAACCCAAAATTATCAAAACAACTGCACCTGTTTTCCTCTGAATCAGAATTGTCCTTATTTGGTCATATAGCAAGAGCATTTCTATCATCACTATTATCATAACAGCCAATCCTACAATCCTCGTCAACCATGCAAACACTAGTTCCAGGAATTTCCACCAAATCACTATTTTACTTGGAAATTTGTTACTCTCATATAGACCAGATCCTTATATGCATGCATGAGCCAGTGCCAGTTGCTACTTTTCTGGAGTATGTAGCAATTAAGAATTTCATGCCTATGATACAACAACAAATCACATAAGAACAATAGTTATCAAACTTCCCTATGATCTACAAGTATTTGCTGTCTATATATGTATAGTGTACAATAAAAATAATGCCCCATGTATTCCTCCATCCTTGCCTGATGGGCTGAGAGAAGGGGGCATTACTTTAATAGATGCATGGTTTCAGTTTGGTTTGCCACAGTACTACACTTTGAACTGATATAGTTCTAGCCTTGCATTTGTAACTTCTAGAGGTCTATGGTCCAATGTAAAAATTTAAAACAAAAATATTATATTATTTTAGTTGTGTAATAATAGTAACAATGTGATGTTCTTAGGTTGAGTGCTAATTACCTTGCATCCTACGTGTATATGACCTAGTGTAGAATAATAATAGACTACTGGATCATGTATATGTCCAATTCAGTAGTAATGTGGTCTTCATGCCATTCTTTGAGCCCTAAATATACAAAGATACAAGTAAAACAAACAAATAACAGAGACTATGACAGAAACCAAAAAACAGAAGAAAGGTACAAAATTAAAAAAAGAGAAGAGATAAAATTTTTAATAGAAAAAAATTAACTAAAATTGTCAAACAAGTCCATCAACAGTGGAGTGAAGCTAGGGGATTGCGGTGTGTGACTAAGGCATTAGCACACCATAGATAAACTGATACTGTATAGCTAGAATCTTTCGTGGTACAAAATTTTAGTGATTTTTGCAATTTGTTCAAAATTCAAGAAAATAAAATCTGCAAAAATCACAGTTTAACGTAGCTAAAAGGCAGAAAATTGCAAAAATTAAAACCACAAAATAGATTTTTGGATAAATTTGTGAAATTTAGAGGCATGAAAATTTCTCGCTATATGATAATAGTTGTCAAGACACTTCAGCAGGATCCACGCCACAACAAGAAGCCAGATGACTGCCAATATTATTATTATTTTCAATTTTATTATCATTATTGTTGTCGTTTTTATTTCTCACATTTTTATTTTACTATCATTATACTATTATTATCAATATAAAAATCCTTAGACATGCAACTAAGCCTTGACATTTCTAGACTTTCCCAATTTGTCAAAATTTTGCCCAAATCAAACAAAAAATTTTAAGCCACTTATGAAGGGTTTTTGACAAAGCACTGGCTAATGAGCTGACAAGCACTACAATAGTATACAAGTATAACTTGGAGGCAACTTTTTAAAATCATTAAAAATCAATTTTCTCAAACATGTTACATGGAGTAAGAATATGCATAGTCTATGTATCAGAAAAAAGCTATAAAAATCAAAAATTCTTTTCTAGTTATTTTTGGCAAAATTTGGCCAAAAACCCTGTACTACTATAGCACAGAAATTTTGGCCCAATTTTTGAGTTACCTTAAAAACTCATTTAAAAACTAAATTTTAATTTTGATAGGAATCAGCTAGAACTTGTTACACAACATAAAATTATGTATAATTATGTCATTTTAAAAAATCACATTTTTGGCAAAATTTGGCCAAAAACACTAGTGACTAAAGACTTACGTGTAAGCCAGATCTTTTAGCAACTTTAAAAATTTGTAAAAAAAATCCAAATTTGGTCGCAATCAGCTCAAACATGCTACACAACATAAGAGGATGTGTGTGTAACAGAACAAATGATAGAAAAGAAAAATTTCTTTCTGGTCATTTGTGAAAAAATTTAGCCTAAGACCTTGTACTATAGTACAGGAACTTTGGTTCAATTTTTGAGTAATTACTACACAATATATAAAAAAATGTATTCATTTCTGGCAAAATTTAGCCAAAGACCTTGTACCATATGACTTGATTTTTGAGTAACTTTTAGAAATCAAATTTTGATGGAATCAGCTCAAATTTGCTACACAACTTAAGCATATGTATATGTAACTTTAAAAATAATAATAATAAAAATTCTCTCCTAGCAATTTAAAAAAAATATCCTGTATAATGTATACTGTACACTGTACAGAACTTAGTCAAATTTTTAAGCAATTTTAAAACTGACTGACAAAACCTGCATGAGCAGTTAAGCACTATGCCAAAATTTTGTGGGAAACGAAGCACATAGATAATTTACTCATTTAAAAACTGAGAAAATTGACAAATTTTTTGGCTGACTGATTATTATAGCAGATTTTAAACTAGTCTTTATTCTTTTTTAGGTTTAAAACCTACAGATTTAGGTGAAGTAGAGAAAATTGCCTCTAATTCTCGTTACCTATCATCAGTAAGGTATTTGGCACTCAATCAAAAGAAAATCAAAACAAAGACAAAGCATTAATAATTAATTAAATTTTGCTCCCATGGTACAAAGATAACAGTCAACTAAAAAGAGTCTTTGGTAGCAAAATTTAGAATTATATGTAGGCACTCGACTCTCTGAAAATAGAGAAAAAGTTTTAACAATGATAGCAGAGGAGATAAATGTTTATTGCAAAAATAATTATTGATATACAGTATGTGGTATTACATGTATAACTGTTAGTTACTGATGCATACTGTTGTGAAATAATCATTATGGTTTCCTATGTATGTGTATTCAACATTACAGTGGTCAACTGTTGCGGGCTTGGTGATTTTAGTGAGTATGGAATGCAAGCCTTTGAAAGAGAGTGGGTGCAATGGAAAAAATGGTAGACACACCCTTGTAAAAAATCCCAGCAAGATCTTATAAAATTTTTCATGATTTCACATGACAATACAAGAAAACGCAAGATAGAAATCTTGTAAAATCTTGTCACAGAAATTCTTACAAATTCTTGCTTTAAGATTTCATAAGATTTTAAGAAGCGGTCAGATCTCCCGAGATCTAACATGACTATAATTTTTGTAAGAATTTCAAAGATCTTATGAGTAAAGGAATATGTTAGAAAATGTAAGATCATGCCTAATTAAAATCTTGAAATATCCCACATTGTGAACTTTGTAAGAACTAACATGATCTTGTTAGCTCAAAATCTCATAAGATCTTACAAAATCTCATAAGTTTATGATCTTGACAAATCTCCCATGATCTTATGATACTGTAAGATCACACATCACAGTATTTTGAGTTTTACAAGATCTTGAAAGATCTTACAAATCATGTGACGTCACAGGAAGTAGTTGACAACCCACGATAGCCTTAACAGTAATGGCAGCATATAAAGAAACTGAAGTTTTAATCACTTTCAATCAAAAAAATCAATGACGTTCACATTCACATTTCACAACATTTTACACATGTATTATGCATTCATGCAATGTAAGATCTTGCCTAGATCTTACTGTTGCATTAATTTTAAAGAGCATTGTATGCTAAAATACCATGCAAGAACTTGAAGGAATCTTGATAACAAGATCTTCCACTATCTTACATGATCCTTGTTCCAAATTCAGGAAAGATCCTGTTAAGACTTAGTAAGAATCTTGAAAAGATCTTGCATTTGATCTTGCAAGAACTTTAAGAAATCTTGATAGCAAGATCTTCCACTATCTTACATGATCCTTGTTCCAAATTCAGGAAAGATCCTGTTAAGACTTAGTAAGAATCTTGAAAAGATCTTGCATTTGATCTTGCAAGAACTTTAAGAAATCTTGATAGCAAGATCTTCCACTATCTTATATGATCCTTGTTCCAAATTCAGGAAAGATCTTGCAAATTATTGTCAAGATTCTTGTCATGATCTTGTAAGAAAATTAACAAGATCTTGCTGGGAATTTTTACAAGGGCTAATAATAACAGAAAATAACAAAGTTGCTGAACATTCATTATGTTTTGAGGTTTGACCATCACCTCATGCTTGAGTGACATGTATTATGTTGACCTTTATAAAGTAGTCTAAAAGATCATAT